AAAGTCTTTCACCTGACCCGGATTTGAACTCTGAATCTTCGGTTCGTGGTCGGAAACTCTACGCACTGCGCTATGGAGACATGTTCGATTTATATTCATTACTAGAATTTAAAGGACTAATGAAAATATAGGATCTTCTCTAATGCGCAGTAGGGAACGCAACGTTTACCGGCAGCCAGACGGGCCGCATGCTGTTCCAGAGAGCATAGTAAAAGATATATCAAAGAGCCAGACGTCTTAAAATACTTGTTTTTTCGACGTTGCTAGCTCTCGTACTATTATCTCTATACATAACCCAAAGATATTATTAGTTACCTACCGTTTAATGGTAAAATAGAAATGCTAAAAAACGAATTTTTGTAGTTTTGTTAGCGTCATATTTGTAATATTTTTATTAGATGCCTGTATAATTGATAAATTATTGTAAAAATTAAGTAGAATATAACATTTTCTAAAAAGCAAGCAACGTATATTATTTATAAAATTATAATATGTTAATGTATAACTTTTGTAATTTTTAATATTTTTTATTGCTTTCTTTTGGTTTGGTACAAAAATACACTTTGAACCATTATAGTCTAATACTACAGTATTACATTTTAATAATTAGCCTAATATTCCAATTTTTACTCTTTATTGTAGTAGATAGAATCTGGATATGAATTATTAATATTGTTTTAGACAGCCTTTATGCGACAGCATGCCATTGAAACTAATTGGAGGTCAAAGCCAATTAGACCACCAAAAATGTTAAAAGGTCATGATGATCACGTTATAACTTGTTTACAATTTTCTGACAATAAAATTGTTAGTGGATCTGATGACAACACTTTGAAAGTTTGGTCTGCAGTAAGTGGGAAGGTAAGAAAATTATTTCATTAAATAACTACTAAATGTATTGTTCAGCTAGGCAATAAAAAACAGTTTTTAGAAACATATTGAAGAACCTTTTGTATAATGAGTTATTCAAGGCTAATCTATGTAATACAGAAGTTTATTTTTGAACTAGTTTTTTAGAAACAGTCTATTAGTAACCTTGGTAACCTCGACCCTATCGAATATTTTTTTGTAATGCGCAAGCGCATCTTTAAGGTGCAGCTTTAAGTGAATGCAATATTATTGTAATCATCAAAACATTTTAAGTCTATAAACCTGACTCAATGAAATTTTAGCAAAAAATGTTTAAATTTGTTGTATAATTTAAGACACTGAGCAGCTCTTTCATTTTGCTTTAGAGTAAATGATTGTAACAGATATTTTATTTAGATTAAAGCTGCAAAATTAGTTTAAACCGAATTTTATTATCGCTATGTTGGTCACGTTGCCCCGTGTTCAGCAATGTTGTCCTTTATTATTTGACAATTATCCTAGTGTCATTTATTTTGTATAATATCGTGTTGTTGTTGAATCTTTGTGAGCAATTCTCGTTTTTTTGCCTATTTTCATAGTATTTTTTTAAAATTGCACTTTTAAACACAAACAGTTTCTTTTAAGAACTAAATTTTTCGAGTTTTTGTATTGGATTTCTTGAAATTTTGTTGAAAATACGTCGAAGCATTTAAACAGTCGAAGCCAAAGAGCTTATAGTTTCCCTGTTTTTTAAACTATTTTTAACGAGAACGTGACAATAAAGGTCCTTTATTACCCTTTGACTGCAATCAGAAAAGTAAATTTAATTGATAAGCACATTATACTACTTTCAAAGTTAGTTTTTATTAAATTCTGTGATTATTGGTTTGTGCATTAATACCACCCTCTTACTTGTTATTACCACTCATGGCGTAGTAAGATGTACATCAATAAATAAACAACCCACAATAACACTTATAATAATCTTCATAATGGACTAGTTTTTGCCAATATTTAATAAAGTAAAATCTATACTAATATATAAAATCCTTAAGTTACTGATATACTGATTAATCACAATCCTGCTCAAACCACTCAACGTAAGAAGCTCAATTTTGGCATACAGGTTGATTCTAGGGTGTAGAGGTTCGATAAGAAGGGATTTTTCGAAATTCAGTTCTAAGAGGGTGAAACGACCCATCAAATATTACAATATTTTTATTTAGTTTCCGAAAAACGCTTAACACGTATATTTTATTTTTGTTTTTACATATTTTAAGATTCTTTAAAAATGTATACAGGGTGTTTCGAAAAATCTAGTCATTGATTAATCACGATCCTGCTTGACGTAAAAGCTGATTTTTGGAAAATAGATTGACTTTAGGGTGTAGAGGTTCGATAAGAAGGGATTTTCGAACTCGAATTCTAGGAGAGGGTGAAACTATCCCTCAAATATTAAAATATTTTTTATTTAAAAACCGGTGAGTTTTTCGGAAAGACTCTTAAACACGTATATTTTATTTTGTTGTTTTACATATTTTAAGATTTTTTATAAATTTATACAGGGTGTTTCATAAATATGACCATTGAGTAATCACGATTCTGCTTAAACTCTTGACGTTTAAAGCTGATTTTTTGGCAAACGGATTGACTGTAGGTTGTAGAGGTTCGATAGGAGGGGTTTCTCGAATCTCAAATTCCAAGAGGGGTGAAAAACAAACGCCCCTCGAATATTACAATATTTGTTATTTAAAAACGGTTAGTCTTTCAAGGGAGGAAAAACTTGGACAAGCATAATTTATTTTGTTTTTTACATATTTTTTTTAAATCATACAGGGTGTTCCAAAAAGTTTTATAATTTCTTAACCACGATTCTTGAAGCTTGACGTAAAAAAGCTTATTTTGGCAAACTAGATTTTCGAAGGTCAAATTCCAACGAGATGAAACTACCCCTCAAATATAACCAAGTTATATAATAATATCGCCATATTGTTTTTTCTCATGCTGACATAAATGTGAAAATTTTATCCAGTTTGTATGTTAATGGAAATTCTTGCTTTGCTTTATTATCACCATTACAAATGATTAATTCGACGCGAACGAAGTCGCTTATACACGCTAGTAAGTTATAAAACAAATAAATCAATTAATCACTAAAATATTAGTTATTAAATTCAAAAAATACAACGTAAAACTCTTTAAAAATGATATAATAAATATGTTGTTTTGTCAATTTTAAATTAAGATTCATCTCGCCAAATCCATCACAATCCGGCAGCGTTGTCGCGATCAGTTGTCACTCAAAGATGATCACGTGCATCGGAAATTGTTTGCGATTGCTATAGTTATTACAAACTATACAGGGTGCTACAAATTCGAGGTACGAGCATTGGTATCTCGGTAACCATACAGAACATTGTTAAATTGGGGCAAAGTTGCGCTTTAGGATGTTCACCAAGATGCCATCAAATTTTTTTTTTTTAATTTCAAGGATTGCAGAGTTTTTGAAAAACGATTTTTTTTTGAAACTAATTTTATTTTTTCCATGGCGTTACTTTTGAGGGAATCAAAACTAATTGCACATTCTCATTGCCACTTTATTAGGACTATCTGATAGTACTTTTAGATTTTCAAATTAGCTGGATAATTTGTGAGATACAGTGGCCATTTTTTTTTTTTAAATACGGACCTGCATTTTTTATTTGATATTTTGAAAGAACTCTGCCCCCTGAGTACAAGATATGCCACACTTAATAGTTTTTTGTTTCGGACATTTGAACATAATTTATTTAAACCTAATTTCAAGTCCGGCTCTGTTTTTTTTTTTAAGATCTAATCTATTCATCCTTACAATATTGTAAAGTAATTGTATTGAGTAAAACATTGAATACGGAAAATCAAATGCAATAACAAAAGGGGCCTTACTTGGCGTCATTTGTAAAGTGAAATCAATACATTTCAACATTTACAATAAAGAGTACAAAAATGCATTCGGAACTATAACAAGAAGATATGTTCAAAGAGCTACAAATAAGATTGACAAAAAAAAATAAATTTGTGCATTAGGGAGGGTGTTAACCCTTTCGAACATGTAGAGCATTAGAAACTAGTTTATCAGAATGAATGGGAGGGGGGTTAATCACTGCGACCTTACAGATCTATTGTGTCCAACTAGTTTATAGAAGTTTATTTATTTATAATAACTACGATTAATATTATGAATATTATTAGATCGTTGACTGAGATTCCAAATTCACAATAAAAAAAAGTTAAAAATAATATCTTTAAATTGTTGATCTGTATATTATTTATTTGGATCTTTGAATTGGCTCGATTTTCCTTATTCAGTGTTAATTAGCGCTGATCAATATTGTTGCGATGAATATAATCAGATTAAATAATTTAAAAAAAAAAAACAGAGTCTTACTTGAAATTATTTTAAATAATAATTAAATAGTTTTGTAAGTACTATTTTGTTTTAGTTTTGTTAAGGTACCTAAAACAAAAGAAATATCAAGTGTGGCATATCATTATACTCAGGAGACCGAGTTCTTTCAAAACCTGAAATAAAAAATGCAGGTCCGTATTTAAAAAAATTAAGTTGGCCTCTGTATCTCACAAATTATCAGCTAATTTGAAAATCTAAAAGTACTATCAGATAGCCCTAATAAAGTGGCTATGAGAACATGTAATTAGTTTTTTGATTTTCCCAAAAATCCGTTTTTTTTCCAAAAAACTCTGCAATCCTTGAAATGTTTAAAACTTTTTTGATGTTATCTTGGAGAAAATCTCAAGGCGCAATTTTGCCCCAATTTAACCATCTTCGTATCTATTACGGTTTCCGAGATACCAATGCTCGTACCTCGAATTTGTAGCACCCTGTATATTGAAATAGAATTATTTTTCTAAAAATATATAGATCTGGTCATTTTAAATCAATGGGTTTAAAGTTTTTGTTTGAGTAGCGACAGTCTAGTTTTCAATTTTCTTTGCGGCTGCGTGAAATAAATAGTCTATCTGTCATATGAAGAAGCGAAGTTGCCCAAAGAGATTCTTATTAATTATATCATTATATTCCAAAAAATATTATCGACACCATAGACTTAAAATAAAATATAGACTGAGCATCTCATTCATAAATAGCTGGAACATGCGGTCAGACACTGTCTTGTTATTGTTGTGTTATTGTTTTAGGTTATAACGAGTGCGACACGAGCGATAGATAGGTTGTCTCTGTCGTAACGGTCGTTCCCTGACGACTCTGCCGAGAAACACAACACTGTCTTTCGTTTCTCAAGTACACCTGAACTCTCCGTATCATAGCCGGGTAATTTTTTTATTTTAATGAAGCTATAATTAAATTAAAAATATATCGTATTTAAACTTTTTTATATTTTATTAAGATTTTTTAAATAAAAGTTTAGAAAAAACAATTTAGAGTCCAAAAAGGATAAAAATAATAAAATACACGTTATAGAAGAAATTTTATCATCGAAATTAGGTAATTTTTGAAATTAATAATAAATTATTAATTTTAGTCAAACATTTACAACCCCTAATATTAATCAAAACAGGATCTATTCCACAGATATAATAGAATCGGCAACAGGGAGAGAAAAAAAATATGATTGTTGTAATTTTTTTTCTGGTTAAGTGATGTCTTATTATGTAAATTAGAGCAAACATAAATCTGTTCCATTAAAGCAAGGAAGGTGATAGGAAGTGGATAAAATAAAAACTACATTTATAACTCGGTACTGTCTTTATTATACCGGGTGCGTCTCAAAAGTGGCTCATCCCCATAATTTTTTTATATTTTCAAATAAAAAAAACAAGATTTAGTATGTTAGTATATGAAATAAATTAGGATTGATTGACGCATTCAATTGTTTTTGGTCACTTCCTGTTTCACCGGAAATGACTATAACTTTTAATTTTTAAACTGGCACCCCTCGTATATTTCTACTTTATTCGATAGAAAATGACACTCTGAATAGAATGACATACCATAT